AAAGTGATAAAAAATCGAAGTCCTCTTTTTTACAATGATTTAATTTTTTTTTTATTCTCTCTTATTTACAAGTCCAGTTAAAGACATTTAATCAATTTGTGGAATTTACAATTGTCGGCCGTGAAGAGACATTATATACTAAAGGTACATATTGGAAAAACAACTCTTAAAACAACTAAAAAAAAAAACAATAGTTGTTTTCCCAAATGGTTTAAAAATCACACTACACGAAAATACCCCTTAAGGAAGAAATTTGAAATATTTCTTGGTATAAACAAAAAAATAAATATATTGAAAGTCTTCTATCCCCTAGACCTCCTACTATTTGTTCCGTATGTAAGTCCATGAACCATATCGTGCAAAATTGCAGCACGCGCTGCATATGAACAATCCGAGGCACATTCTATATCAATTTAAAACCTAACAGTAAATTGAATTCATGATGGTAAATGCAATACTATTTTATATAAAGAGCACATGCAAATCTATTTTGTATGTAAATTCAAACAACAAGACCTTTTTCGGCATTTTGATAATATAAAATTTTTGGTCAACTAAACTTTATTTGCACCTTGAATTGCAAAGACAAATAAAGCTCCTAAAGTAGCACATGGAAAGTTGTACAATTATAAAAATTAATCAATTAACTTGATTTTGATTTCGTACATACAATATTTTATTGCATTTCAAAATAAACTTGTGAGCCTTTATTCAGTAAAAAAGTAGTACTGAAATGATAATATTAATAGTGCCATGTCATACAGAAACTTTTATTACATGTGTAATTTAATAAATTATGAACTTATTCTTTCCCAATTAATTTCATAGATCTGAGCACTGGAAACTACACAATTGCAATCCTAAAATTAAAACTTGCACATTTTTTCTTTTTACAATAAATAGCAATTTCGAGATAAACATTGACTGAAATTAAATCATGTTTAATAAAACCTCATACCAATGCCAAATCATGAGAAATGATATTTAGTGATTTTAATCAATTAAATTTAGAACCTATATATAAATGATGATGAAAAATATGATGAAGCAAATAATTATGTTAAATTCCACAAATTAAATTTTTGTAAAGTTTCTTAAACAATAATTCGAGAGTAAGGTTTAAGATATTATCAGAACACCAACAATCAGCAAATTAATAAAGCGAGTAACAGACAATTTACAATTCACACAAAACGAATGTATATATATATATATATATATATATATATATATATATATACAATTATATACAAATATGCACATATACTTATAATTATATTACAAGTCCATCGAGGTAAATATAGAGTAAAAAATATAAATATTCGTATTAAAAGTAAAGTCCATGAAAATGTCCAAAAATTTCTGGAGTTCACGATCAATTCTATATACTAGAAGTAAGTTTAATCGAATTTACATTAATTCAGAATAAAATATGTATCAAGATGTGTATAATAAAATATTTCAAATTAATTAAATTGTTTTCAAACATGTTATTTATGTAGTCACTCATTGAATGGAATAATTCTGCAGATATCATTATCTGACAATACAGTCGAATAATGATTAATTGATTAATATTAATTATTTTTAAAATAACATATTGTTTGGAACATACAGTAAATTACTGCCAAAATTGCATCATTTTTGCGTCCACTTTTAAAAATCGTGATTTGATATGTATTTCTAAGAATAATATACATACATATATACAAATACACTTTATATTTATAGTTAACTGTATATCTTTATGTATGATAGTTATACGTGAAGCAAAAAAATACTGAACATTTTATTTAAAAAAAGATGTTTTATAAAATGTTCTGTTTTATAAAATGTTCAGAACTCATGTGTATTACCAATTCTTGTCTTTTGCTATATTTTATCGAGAATAACTCTTACTACTAAATTATTATCAACATTATTAAGATTATTTTTTATTTATTTATTTATTCATAAGCAAGCCGTAATCAATAATAATAAATATTATTTCAGGCTCTTATTATTTTAACATCTTCTATTAACTCTAACTTGGAATTGTTGAAATGATGGCTTTCAACATTTACCTGTTTCTAGATATCAAGGGATATCATATTTATTTACCATTATACTGGATTGACCAAACCCTGTATTATCACAGATCATTTATGAGGCATAATCTAAGCCTTTTATCACCATTCCAAGATATGATTCAAAATTTCCCAGAAAACATTCAGAGCTTTACATCTCTGCCAATGTAACTATCGATATGTAACGATCGATCAAAAATATAAAAAAAAATCGAAAGAAAACGAAATGAACATAAACTAAGAATGCATGCATAACTAACTTATATTAACTTAACCAAAATAAAATAAATTCAACAAAATAAACAAAAATAAAAATTAACTCACATTCCCCAGATTGAAATTTATTCTCATCATTTTCATCGCCCTTCAGCGAGTCCATCTCAGGCATATCTTGCCCTGATAAGCTCATATCGTTGCTGAATGATTGGCGTGAGCTTAATTTCTCAAATGTCTCGTTAAGCTTATCCATTTCTAAATTATGAGTACTGGATTTTAGGCTAAGTTGTGATGAAGTCATACTGTCAAATGTTGCCGATTCGAAAGGATTGGCGACATCGTTTAAATCTTCGCACATCAGAGACGACTTTTTATAAGTCAAAGACGACATTGAAGAATTGAGGTTATTGTTAGTGGAATTCTGTTCTTCTAGTTGCTTCGTGTTAGAATTGATGCATAGATCGTTAGGGTTCTCATCCATCACCTAATTCTAAAAAAACGTATCGCAGGAAAATTTAAAACAAAATAATAACTGAAATAAAATTATTAACTTATATAAAAATAACTTATAGATAAAGGAAACTTAGAATAAAAATAATAAACTCAAAAAATTGAAATACAACAAAACGAGCCCTTTCTTCATTCTGTCCTGATGATACAGATAATAGAGATACAAATCCATTCTTTTCATATTCTACATTTCAATAACAATTAAAACAAGATCATAAATTATAAGTTTTCATTGTTTAGAAATGTGTTTTCAAATGTAGCGAATATTCTGTAATGATGATACTTTTCGTAAACACTTATCAAAATATGTGCATCAAGAAGTTTTATTTAAAAAAACTCTTCTTATATTAAGTTGGTAGCTAAGTAAGTGCGATTTTCATCTTAGATAGTTTCAATTTAATTTTTAGGTTTGCTGATATAATTCAAATGTAAAATACCTTTTTTTAATGGATAGTAAGCAGTTTAGATGTACATCAGTGCAAATAAGTTTTTTGATGTAATGATAATTTTTGTCCACTTATTTTTTTTTAATTTATAAAACTCTTCTTATATTAAATTGGCAACTAAGTAAGTGCGGTTTTGAGCTTTTAGGAGGTTTCAATTAAATTTTTAGGTTTGCTGACGTAATCCGAATTTAAAATTACCTTTTGTTAATGGATAGTAGGAAGTTTAGATCTACATCAGTGAAAAGTTTTTCATTCCATTAAGGACTATTTGTTTGGCGTTCATTGAAAGGTGAAAAATCAAATTGAAGATTTTTGTCATATTTTGCTTTTTTATTTCTGCAGATGTAAAGAAGCATCCTGAGCCTTAAAAGCCTTAAAGAAACGGTGACCTGGCACCCGACCTTGACCTTCTGATTATTTATAATTTGGATCTTCACAAAATTCTTTCAAAAGGTAAATCATCAATAATCATAATGATGGCAAATTATAATAAATTATAATATATAAAAGTGAGATAATGATGATGCTGCTTGAAAGAAAGCAAAAAGTCATTGATCAAAATGGACATTACAAATAAAGTTATTTAGTTCCATAAAAAAATGTCTTGTTTCTGACAAAAATCCGCAATTATTTAGTTTCCAACTTAATACTTTGTATATTGAGTAAGCACCCTAAAATTTCAGCTTAAAACTAGTGAAAAGCAGTAAAATATTTTCCATTTCTACTATGTTTACTAAAACTAACATTTTTGTCAATAACAAATGCACATCAATTAATGCATATCTTATCACTTTAAAAACATGTTAATATAATTCAATAAGACAATTAAAAACAATTTAAAATTTAATCTGCTTGTAATCCTGTTGTATACGCATTTTATTTACTTCGCAAATTAAAATTCTATGAAACTTTAAAGCTTTGTCCAAATAAAATATTAGGAAAAGATAAATTCTATGAAATTGTATAGCTTTGTTCAAATACAAGTTTAGGAAAAGATGAATTCTATGAAATTTTGCAGCTTTGTTCAAATAATTCGATTTGGTAGAAGATGAAAAAAAAAACAAGAAGATGATATAGAGCCATGTCGGTCATATATGTGTGACATAAAAATAGTCAGAAATTTTGGCAAAAAAAATTTCTTTGATATATAAATTTTCGGTTATAATCCCAAATGACGTATTCAGTACGTAATTTAAACATTGTAATATTACCATAAACAAACGTACACAGTTGTTTACTGAGCTTTTCAGATAGCAACAAAAACAGTTTAGCATATCAAAAACAAACATTTGTTTTAATATTTATAAGTCAAACAACACACACAAAAATAATTTACCGAACTATTTTCCCATGAAAACACACAAAACTTTCACATATCATAAAATTACACAATCAATATTTTTAGCACTGTACTAATCCCAACTAATTTGGATAAACATAAGATGGGACACAAGACAAGAGGATTAACGTAATCTTTAGAAGTTCATTTTTGCTAATCATTAAGTGCAGATTTTTATCAATTATTTAAAGATAAATTAAATGATTCGACGTATACGCGCGAATGTTTTATGATACGATGTACAATATAGAATTATATGTTGGGTTATAAATCATGGACATCAATCGTCCATAAAGCGACAAGTGATAGATTAAAAAAATTACTGGAATTAACTTGATACTCAGATTGGAAATTTATATTAATGAATTGCGCATTTTTATCATCTTTATTCATTTGGATATAATTCGATTTGAACTGCATAATGGAGAGAAGAATACTGATTCAAACTCACCAAAAACAATTTAACTTGGAAAACTAGTCTAACTGAAGAAAATTGTATCCTGCAGAAAAATCAATTGCCGAATTTTATTGCAAAACTTGTCTCCTTAACTTTACTCCACAAAATAGTTATTGGTTTCAAACATAAAAAGCTTTAAGTACTTTCTCATTTAATACTTGAAACAAATACAATAAAACAACTTCAAAAGACCATCCTAATCATTTTGGCTTATTACGATAAGATACATAAAAACTAAATCCGGCGCTAATAAAAATATTTCATTAAGATCAAAAAATGTGAAAGCTCATGTAATACATTTATAACACTTCAAACAAATTGTTTGCATTGTTGCTTCTTGCAAAATAATCATAGAATGCGATCGCAATTGTAATCTAAATTAAAAGGGCTTAATTGAGAATTTATTATACAAACTGAGGCGTTAAATGCCTCGGAAAATAGAATGTAGTTTGTTGACCTGAATTGAAATCTAGAGCTCTCCTAATCTATTATTATAAATCTGCTTTAATGGGATAGTGGAATACAAATATGAAATGAATATTTTTCTAATGCTAAATTAATTTTTATAATCACACTATTTGTAATTTGTTTAATTTATACGTTTAAAATAAAATCTATCCATATAAAAATTGCTGGAATCAATTCTTATCACATCATAATACATCAAATAGTATAGTTTCTCGATTTACTATCAGCTCGTTAAGGTGAAATTAAAATATTCAATTACTATTAAAATTGATGACTTATTAAAATCCATAATTGCATTTATAACTCATGAACGATGTATAATATTTCTCATTTTTAGTTTATTATTACATTAACATTATTAAATAGTTATAATAAGAAAATTTACAGATTGATAATGACTATCGCAATTTGATTTTGTTACTAAAAAGTAAAGTTATTTAGAAACTTATATCCACAACTATATAGAAGAATTTTCATATGCTTAAAAAACTTAAGTTCCTACAGGTATGCATACAAATTTACAATTTATATTTTTTATGATTAATGGAAACGGCTATCCCACGATGATACATCTAATATATCTCAAAGATAGATATGGGTAAAATAATTTAACTTGTAATATAATACAAGCTTGTAACTTTTATCAAGATTTGGTACGTGCCAAAAATGATAAAACAAGATAATAAAGCACCCATCTTAAAAATATGACGCGACTATATTTTTCCGACAAAAATTTATCGTTTATCAATACTTGTTAAATTTGATAATATTCTAAGAAATAGATGCAAACTTGATCAAACGCAAAATAAGTCAGAAAATATTAACAATAGAAATTAATAACTAATTAACTAATTTAAAAAAAAATACATGCCAAACATCGGTTTCTATCTTATTCTGCAATTGTCCTCATTTAAACTAGAAAACTTTTGTACTAATTAAACATACTATTAATTTACTTATTATAATAAGAACACCCCGAATTAAGGTTTTAAAATTTTTCATTCGTCAAAAAATCGTGACAAGTTAAATCATTCTCAAATATTTTTTTTATTCTCTATTTTACTTACAACTGTCCAGTTAAGGACATTTAGTAAATAACTGGACAGTTGTAAATTCTCATATTTGGATTGCCCTTAAAATATAAAAATTAATTTTAATTTAATTTTTATTAAATATAGAAATTGTATATAGTATCACACAATATTTCAAAAACGAAATGATACATATGCAAAAGTGATAAATAATATTCCTGTAAAGTTTTATAGAAAAAATATCTGAAAATTTCTCAACAATAACTACTTTTGAGCTTTCATACGATTACGATGTAACTTCTTTTTGATCATGATTTTATGTTGGATTAGATTGATTAAGATCAAACGATTAAGCTCCGAGCTTTCACTATTTAATTCCATTAAGAGAATTAAACTTAGTTTATAGAAAAAGATAGGTGTACTGATTTCAAACTTCAACAAAAAAAGGGCATTTTTGTTCATATAGGAGATATATCTTCAATCGACCAAATCGAAAAACAAAATTTTAAAATTGTCTTCGATTTTTATATACACTGAATTTTTATAATATCCGGACGTGGAAATTTGGGATTAGTAGATTGGGATTAAAAATTAAAGTTTAAGTATTTTTTTCAGTAACCACACAAACATTTCAAAGCAACAATTTCGCATAGTCTTGCCTTGTTTCAAGTGCCAAAGAATTTTAGCTGAAAAGTAGTGGTTATATTTCATGCAAATATGTAAAGCATAAGCTCAAAAATGAATTTTTGGACTTACCACTTATCCTTGGTTAACTTTGCTCATCCAGTATAGAAGATTAAGCTCATTCCCTGCAAGGAAAAAAACTTATTAGAATAAAACTATTGGGTTAATTTTTTTATTTTAAGTTTTGTTAGAGCAAAAAAAACTGAGGTCATGCAACTCTACAGCTAATTTAGATGACGAAATATTTTCCATTTACAATTTTGAGCAAACATTGGTGCCCCAAAAGTAAATTACTTATTAAATTTTTTATTTTATTTTATTTTTAGCCTATGATGAAAATTTTCAAACTCGGGGCAAATATGACGCACCAGGAATTATAGGTATCAACTTTGATAAACAATAAATTATAGATAACACGTAATTTCGACAATATCGACCATGTTGTGTTTGTAAGTGAGCATGTATATAAAAACGAGTAATCTCAATTTTCGGTTATTCATTGCTACAGCAGATTTCAAAATAAACATTAAGAATTTAAACTAATGACATAAAATATTGTGAAACAAAATAAGAATGAGTAAATTAAGTTTAATTGTATTTGCAGTGATTTTGAATTGTTCGCTGTTTGTTGCAGCTGAAGATCGTAAGTAGTGAAATTATTGTTTATTAATTTATTTTTTTATTTTTAATAAATTTTGTGTTCGAAAACAGTGTGTGTAAATTTTGCAATAATTTCACAACTATTAACTTATAATTTAAATTTGATTTAATTAAAAAACATGTAACTTTTAAACTTGACTTGTAAATAAACGCTAGGCCTACGATAGGTCATAAAGCTATCATCTTTTATAAGGGATAAATAAAAAATAAATTCGTTAAAATATTTTTTTTTAAAAAAAAGCGAGCATAAGATTTAATGAAGATCCAATTGAATTTCGACTTTCTTATTTTATATTTTAGTACCTACGTGATTACAACTTAATATGCATGGCTAAACTTATATTTTATTAAATCAAAATCAATTTAAATTATTTTTTAGAATTCTTTACAAGCATTATTTAGTAAAATTAAATTTTCAACTTAATTTTTACAAATTTGACAATTTTAATTCATAGATCTAATGTATCCAATTAAATCTGATAATTCAACTAATTAAATCACTGCAAATTTAACACGTGTAGTAGATCTCAATAAAAATCATAATCAAATTCACACATTATTGATAGACAATAAAAAAATAAGATATTTCTAAAAACAAGTAAATAACACGCACATTTATCTATATAGCACTTAACAAATTTTGTCAATAGTATAATTAAAGTTTTATTTTTATTACGGATACTGATAAAAACCAAAAAATATGTCACATTGAATTTTTTGTTATCTGCTAACACTAATCGATAATTCAGATTATAGAAAATACCTTGAATTTTAGTTTTTCGCAATGAGTGATTTAAAAATTATCAGAATTATCCATGATAATTAGGTGTTAATAACATGATATTTGCATAGCATACAAGGAAAAATCAATATAAAGAAACAAACATTTTTATGAAAAAATAACTTTAGTGCAAAAATAAAATATTATCATTTTAAGGGATAAAATTAATTACAAAAGTATTATGAAAATTAACATTTAATACAAATAGTTTAGTCCGAATATTTTTTTTTGTTAAAATATAAAATTTATATAAGCAAACAAAATCCTATCTAGGCGTAGAATCACGCATTGATAAACAATTTATTATTAATTAATTATTATTGTAATTGTAATTTATATACAAGCAAGACATGATAAAAAACAATAGTTTTTAAAAAATATTTTTAAAAACTAAGTAATTTTAGAAATACTAAGTCGTATTCCACAAAATCGAACACTTTGTATCAATCTGAAAAACATACCATCCTGAATCCTGGAATATCCTTGAATTTCTTTGAATCAAATTTATTAAAGTATTTCAAAATTATCGCCTTGTTTAAAAAAATATTTTTCACGATTTAAGTAATTTTAAAAATATTGAGTCAAATTCCACAAAATCGAATACCTCGTGTCTTAATCCTGAATTCTGGTGTATCCTTCTTTGAATCAAATTTATTCAAAAAATTTGAAATTATCGTCCGAAAATATAATATATTGGGCAATCAAAACAATATAATAGACTTTGTTTTGGAGTTTAAAGTGTTTAAGTTTTAATCTCTTCCACATCAATTAGCAAAAACAAAATTCTACATTTCGCAGAAAACTTTAATTCAATCGCAAACAATCCACAATCACGTTTGTATAATAAATATGTATTTAAAATTTAATTCATAAGCTAATAATTTATTAGTTTAACTTTGTGATTATTTGTTTTTAAGTGAAATTGGACAACATTAAGAATATATTACGATTAAATCAATCAACCAATTTTATTTCTGTTCTTGTCTATATATTTTTGTTTTTTTTACCAATTTACAAAATTAGAAATCCTAATTCAATTTATGAAAATCGATGAATAGTAAACAAAAATTATCAACCCAAATTAAAAGTGGCCATAGTTTAAGTTAATAATTAACCTGAACATTACAATCAATTTTTTGAGGGTATATTAACGATGTCCTCAAAAAAAAAACAAATTCATTGATGGTAATGTTTTTCAGATCAGTAGTTTATTGTTAGTTAATTAGCGTATTGTTAGTTGAAATTTATGTTTTACTTTTTGTTATTTTTTTTATTTCGCAATACAATTTATAACTGTCTTCAGATGATCTAGTAAATTTAAAGACAATATAGTTAAAGTATATTAAAGTAAAAGTAGTCAATGTTACTTCTACTTCAAATACATACTTTTTATTATAAATAACATAGAAACCATAACATAATTTAAAAAAAAAACATTTAGTAATAGATTTGCTATTCTACGATAGGATTGAAAAGAAGCAACTTAAAGAAAGCTTTAATATTTTTAGCTATAATCAACAAATTTGCATTATCAGTAAAACCTAACCTATTTTCTTATATCTGAATATATAACAGTTTTTAAATAAAATGAAATTAATAGTAAACTAATAACTATCATGTTTCAAACGCCAGAGTTTAAGTTTAAGGAAATTAGAAAAGATCCTGCTAATTTTCTAAAGTAACAATTTTTTTCTTTACATAAAATAATAGGTTGTTAAGTGTTAAAGGTATGGTTAAGTTCTGAAAACATTGTTTTGAATTGATTTGGATTCTTTTGGAGTTATAATTATGTTAATTTGCTCCTTTTTATGTATATATATATATATATATATATATATATACAAATTAAATAAAATTATTTTTTCTCATTGCAGTTAAAGTAGTCTGTTACTATGGCACATGGGCAACTTACAGACACTCAAATGGTCAATTCAATGTTGAACACATAGACCCATTTATCTGCACCCATTACATCTACACATTTGTTGGATTGAGTGAAAATTCAGAAATTAAATTATTGGATCCATATTTGGATCTGGCTGACGATTATGGAAGAGGTAATTGTAATTGACAAATAATATCATAATTTAATCATAAGGAAGGGGTAGCTCCAAATTATGGAATCAAAAACCTATCATCTTTTCATCATATTTTGGTTTAAAGAAACAATTTGAATAAAATGCATTTGGAGCTTCATAATTTTTATGACATTATGACCTGATTCGAAAGAGCCAATGCCTAAAGGATATTTACAAAAGCTCTCATATTGTAATATTATTCATATTAAGTAAATATTATTTCCAGATAATATTGGTAAATTCATCAAGCTGAGGGATAGAAACCCAAGAGCAAAGTTCATTGTAGCCATTGGAGGATGGAACGAAGGTTCAGTTAAATACTCCAAGGTAAATATATGTCTTAAATAATTTTTATTCTAATTTACCAAATACTGCCTTAAATATCTACTTATGTTCTACCATTTTAAATGTTTCCACAATCATAAAAAAAATTCTGAATATAACCAAATAAATAGCACCTACATAATTGATTCAGTATTATATTGGCAAGAAAAATTATTTCTGATAAAAATAAAGAACTACTGGTGTATAGCATTGTGCCTTGATGCAAATTGCTGAAACTTCTCGTAAATGTAAATTATTTTCGATTATGAAAAAAACATTGTAAATAAAAAAAAACTTTTTTTCTTTTTCCAAAAACAATTGTTTCGCCAACACAAGCAGAAAGTTCTTTGAATTATTCAAATCGGATGCTTATTTCTCTCAAAAACTGTAATTTTTTGCACATTCAATTTCATATCTTTGCAACGGCTGAACCTGCCTTTGCCAAAACCTAATCACCACATCTCCCTATTATTACAAATTGAATGTTTTTTGAACCATTCAAATCGGATGCTTCGTTCTCTCAAAAACTCGATTTCTATTTTGTACTATTTGCTTCGTATCTCCAAAACGGCTAAACCTGCCTTTGTCAGAAACTAATCAGCACATCTCCCTATCAATAGGTATGGAATGTTTTTTGAACCCTTCAAATCGGTTGATCCGTGCGCTTAAAAACGTAGATGAAACTCACACCCACACATCCATTATTTCTAAAGTATGCCAAAATGTTCAGGAACCTTCAAAACGTATTTGGTGAAGATATGCAAAAAATTTCATTTTCGATTTTTGGATGATTATAATAACTTACCCTACGGGAAGTCAATATAGACATTGCAATGTACAAGTAAATCCATCCAATCCAAAGAACAATTTATAGAAGTCAAAAGTTATTCCACTCAAATTAGAAGACTCTTCTTAAACTGTTATTATTAATATAAAATTTTGTTTTGTCTTTTATTAAATTACTTTTATTTCTCTAATGACAACCTTCTCTCTGTGATATTATTTATCTAAAACCCTAAAATAGATGCTCCTAAGTTCAACCTCAATTCTCCTGAAGGCAACAAATATCTCCCCCAAAACTTTTGCCAAATGCATAGAATAATACTACTAATGCCCAACGGGCAACTTGCCCAACATTTAACCTAGTTTATTCAAATCTCACTCCATTTAAAAACTGTACTACCATCCATAAATCCATTACAGATGTCAAATGACCCCAAACTTCGTGCCAAATTCGTAAAGAGTGCTGTCGATTTCGTCCTAAAATACAAATTCGATGGTT